GAGTGTGCATGGAGAGAACACGCTGCTCACCTTGGAGTCTGGGAACCCACTTGGGGGTGGACACACATGGTCCACCTTGCTATACAGGCCTGTTCTGTAAGGAGGAACTGGTTCGGCAGAAAACAGCCATGCCTGAGTGTCCTTGGGTTATTCTTGACACCACCCTAAAAAGAGGGGGTGGGGAAGGAATTAGGACCCCAAGCCTCCTGGGTGCTTGTTGCTCCTCATGGGTCCTCTTTCCAGGGACACTCCCCTGCAGTGTGGGGGTGCAGGAGAAAGGGAGCCAGCAGGGGTGCAGGCCCTGGGGTTTCTGACCTGGAAAGAACTTGTTTGCAGGCCCACCTGGGCAGGTGAGCCTGTGACCGTTTACTATAGCAACTTGGTTCTCCTTTTCCTGATTAGACAAAATCAACACGCTCTCCTGAGGATGGTGGGGTTGACAGACTTCTGGTCACAGTACAGCAAACATTTAACTGACGTGGAGCCTTGAGGGTGTGGGTGAGGAGAGAAGTCCCAGAGGGCCCCGCTTCCAGGAACAGCTTTGTCTGTTTCAGCTCTCCCCTTCAGTGGCTCATTTCTGTTGGCGCTTGTGGCGGAGAAATTCTTTTGTTTTCTTTTGAATGAAAATGCAAGCCAGCGCTCTGCACCGGGCCCCCAGCAGCACAATACGCAGGCTCTGACCATCAGTTTTAGGTGATAAACCAGCAGAGGGTCATGGAGAACAAATGGAAAGATGACTGGTTGGAAACTTCCTTTTCTACAAAATAAAAGTAATTCCTTGGGGTCCTGAAGGAGAGATGAAGACCACGGCTGGGTGTTGGTCCAGAGGGAGGTTATTCTCGGGGTGAAGCTGCAGGATTTTCTGGCAGGCAGCCAGCTGTGCTGTCACTGAAGGCAGTCATTCTCTCGTTTCTGCCCCTCCATTAGGTCTTGGGAATCAACCTGACCCAGCAGAGCCCCTGCCCTCCGGGAGCTGTCAGTGGGGAGACTGGTTGGGAACCGGTCCTTGCCGTCCGGCCCATGCTGCTGCAGAGCCACGGCCCACACAGAGGCGGCCCAGAGCACAGTGTGTCAGGCGCGTTTGTCTCTAGGGCTGCCGTAACCAGTTACCACAAACTTGGTGGCTGAAAACAGCACACTTCTGTCCTCATATTCTGGAGGCCAGATGTCCAGTCTCAGTATCCATAGGCAGAAATTAAGGTGTCCGCAGGGTCGTGCTCCCTCCAAAGGCTCTAGTAATCGAAGGCTCCAGGGGAAATTCCATCCCTGCCTCTTCCAGCTTCTGGAGGCCTCGGGTGTTTCTTAGCTGTGGTCACATGGCCTTTTCCCTTCTGTTTTTTGAGGAAGATTAGCCCTGACCTAACATCCACCGCCAATCCGCCTCTTTTTGCTGAGGAAGATTGGCCCTGAGCTAACATCTATGCCGTCTCCCTTTATTTTATGTGGGACGCCTGCCACAGCATGGCTTGACAAGTGGTGCATAGTTCTGTGCCCCGGATCCGAACCTGCGAACCCCAGGCCACTGGAGCGGAGCACATGAACTTAACTGCTGTGCCACCGGGCCGGCCCCCTTCTCCTCTTCTGTCGTCTGCAGATCTCCCTCAGCTTGCCTTTTACAGGGCTACTTGTGATTGCTTTCAGGGCTCACCTGGCTAATTGCCCCATCTCAAGAGCCTTGGTTCAGTCCTACTTACAGAGTCTTTGTTGACACATAGGATACGTTCTCGGGCTCAGGGATTGGGCCTGGACACCTTTGGGGCCAGTGTCAGTCTCCCACAGGAGGGGAGCTCACTAGTGGGGGAAATGGGGGTAGGGACAGTGGAGGCATGATTCTCATGGCTCAGCCAGAGACTTCTAGATGGTTCCATATGGTCAGAGGAGATTAGCATTCCAGGTGGAGGAAGCATCCTGTGCAGAGGGGCGGCACGTGGAAGATGGACTCATAAATTACCCGGCGTCATGCGAGCGGAGAGCGCAGGAGGAAGCGGGTCTGTCTGCAGGCTGAGGGGTGCGTCCTTCAGCTGGAAGGCGTTGGGGTCTAGTGGAGAGTGTTAACCCAGCTTTGCTTTTCAGAAGAGTCGTTCTATCAGTCATGTGAAGGATAGATTTGAGAGGGTCCAGACTGGAGCCCCTACGGTTTGTCTGTGGGTGGATAGGTAGTAGATACTTCCAGCTTTGCAGGCTGTGTAGTCCCTGCCTTGCGGACAGGTGAGGGGACCTGGCGCCTGCCGGGATGTGAAGAGGAGAGAAGGCGATAGGACTGCTGGCCAGGGTGACTGCTGAGGGCTGGGAGTGTCCTCAGCCAGGGCAGTAAATTCCTGAGGGGAGGACCTGTTCTAGGTGCCTGCGGGCTTGTGACCAGGAGGCTCGGCAGGTGGGCACGTTGGCCTGGAATTCAGAAAGGTTCGGGCTAGGAAGGCTTGGGAGCCCTCACTTAGAGACCAAGGTCACCTTGGGTAGACTCAGAAGGAAAATAGGTGGGCAGCAAGGGAGGAGCCAGCCTTGGGGGCTTAGAAGGGATAGATGGGGAGGAGGACCCGCAGACAGTGTCCCATTCATGTCGCCATCCCTGCTGTCAGGAGATGCAGAGGGACACCCCATGGGACATGCTCTCAGAGTTGCACCTCAAGAGCAGCCCTGTGGTTGGTCCTCTCCAGGAAGCACGGGGCAGACCCTGGTATGGAGCGTCCAGCTGGGACAAGGAGTGAATGCTCTTCCAGGATGGTGAGGGCTGGGGAGGGACAGAAGGCGTCACGGGGACGCTCCGTTCATAAGCTCACGGATTCACCGTGCGTCCACAGTTTTCACTGAGTGCTTTCACTGTACCAGAGAGTGTGGTCTGGAGCCTGCGGTGATGCAGGTGGGGACCTGGACACGTGTATGTAGACTGTGAAGAAGGAGCCAGAAGGGCAGGCGTGTCGAACTGACCCCTTCGCCCGGGACCAGGGCAGCCTGGGGTGTGGGGGCGTGGGCGTATGGCTCCACCCTGGGCCCCTGGCTGCTGAAGGAGGCTGCACAGTCTCTGCCGGGAGCGAGCAGACAGGAGATGCGGCGGGATCACCAGTGACAGTGAGGATGGTGACTCAGGAATGGAGAGGGAGTTAACCAGGGGCAGTGAGGACGACACATCACAGTGCTGACAGTGGGCTACACAGCACCCATTGTGTCCACAGCACCTGGAGCGCAGTGTGACAGCCGGGCGGCTCAGCCATCGGGGGCTGGATCCAGGCTGTGCGTTTGCAGAATAACTGTTGTGGGGCATGGGGACAAGGAGGACGAGGCTGTTGAAGATGTGGTTTAATGACCCAGCACGGGCTGTATTTTTCATTCCTTCAGCAAATGTATCCTCAGTTCCCATGCTTGCCCAGCTGTCAGCCAGGAGTGTAAGCTGGCGGCAGGCAGGTCCTTGCTCCCTGGAGCTAAGGCAGAGCAGAAAGAGTCAGTCAACATGCTGAGAGGGTGAGGGGAAGGAGCCAGGTGCTGTGGTGGAGAGGGGCAGTCTTGGGAGGTGGGCAGGCCAAGTCTTACTGAGGAGCTGACATCTCAGAAAAACCTAGAAAGGTGAAAGTGAGGTGGGCACTCGAAGAGCCAGGGCAGGAGTGTTCTGGGCGGGGGCTCAGGAGCCTTGCCCTGGGTGGGTGAGGGCGAGGGTGGTCGGCTCTCTGGGCGGGAGTGAGGTCTGGGCAGGGCTAGCCACGCAGGTAGCAAGGGTCTACTCCTAGAGTGGGCCACTGAAGCAGGCAATGACGGGTCTGATCGACTCACTTGAGAAGCAGGTGCCGCCGGCCGTGGGGGTGAGTGGTTGTTGGGGAGGGGCGAGGCGGCGGACGGGCTAAGGGGCTGAGGGAGGCTGTCTGTGTGGTTCCAGTGAGAAGGGGCTGTGGAAGCAGATGAGAGCCGACAGGAGGGAGACGGGTGGCCCAATTGACGGTGCTTGTGATGGAGTAGATGCTGCGGAAGGAGGTGGGGACCCGGACCACACCCAGGTTTTCTGAGGTGGTAGTCGTTCATAACTTTCTGCCGAAGTATAGTATTCATGCAGAACAGTGCATCTCCTAGAGTTTTGATGAAAGCTTAGCCTGGGCAGCTGTGAATATGGTTTCCCCATCACCACCACTATTCCTGAGGGAATATCTGGGGGCAAGTGGGTTGGAGGAGAAAGGGGAGAAAGACTTAGGTTTTGAAATACTGTGTTTAGAGTTCGAGTTAGAAATCCAGGCACAATTTTGAAGAGGTGAGATGTAGGAATTGAGAGCTCGGTGGCCACGTAGGGCTGAAAACAGATGCTGGGCGGCTTTGGCCCATGTGGCTTTTGAGGCCACACTTCGTGCAACCATGCAGCAGGCGCAACCGGGAGGAGCAGGGTCTCCTGTTCCCCAGCCCTGAAGGCCTCAGCGACCAGCTCCCTGGCTGCGTGGCATGGGAAGCGACCTCCTGGGGGAGGAGGGCACCCTTGTCCAGGAGGGAAGTGTGGAGGCCAGCCCCACGCACTGTGCTCACTCCTTAGAGGTCACTTCTCTGCACCTGACCCTGTGGCCAAAACCTAAGAATCTGTCCCAAAAGCAAGGGAATGGGCGAGCTGGCTTCCACATGGAGCCTGGGCCAAGTTTTTCATCCTCGGAGCCAGCACCCTGCAATGTGGAGGGGGACCCGGCCACATAGTCTGAGTCGGGGGCGCCCAGGGTGGCATGGACTGTGGAGTCCCCACGTCCTTCCCAGCTGCCACCTGGCAGTGAGAGGAGCACCTGCCCCTAAAGTCACACCATTGGTGGTTGTACAGGAGGAGGCGGAAATGCCCCAGTGGTCGGGCGAGGGGAGTTCCTTAGGCTGGGACGTGCTGAGTTGCTCCTGAAGGACAGACCGAGCCGCAGCCTGGGGCTGACGTTCGCTGATTCTGCTCCCCCAGCTTGGCGGCTGCCTGGGAGACAGATGCTGGCCTGGCGCTGCTGTGGCCACGCTGAGCTGCTGTGGCCCGTGCTGGGGACGTGAGCAGGGGCAGGTGGTGAAGACCTGCAGTTCCTGCTGCCACCATCTGAAGGTGGTGCTGCACCCGGGGAGTCGGCCGGGGGGCCTGAGGCCAAGCCGCGCCCCAGGTGAGCCCAGCTGTCCTTTGCAGCTGACGCGCTGGCACGCTGGGCTCCAGGCAGAGAGGGCCATTCAGACTCTGGTCCCTCAGTCATTTGCATTAATAGAAAGGTGCCGGGGACAGATGTTGCCAGAAACAAGTATTTCTGTTTGGCTTGAATCTGTTTTATACTTACATTTGAATTTTACAGAAACTTAACCCAGAGGGGAGTAAAAACTTGCATAATGAGCATGTGTCTGCTCTTTGCACTGTTCTAGGTGCTGGGGACACAAATGAACAAACCGGTAACTATGTACCATGATGTCAGGTGGTGATAGATGCCAAGGAAGGGACGGAGGGTGCCATCGGGAGGGCTTCTCGGCTGAGGTGACATTTGGTTAAAATACATATCTGTACCCTTTCTGTTATCCTCTCCCACCCAGCCCCCTCGACCCCCCCCCACCCCTCCCCACACTCCTGGCCTCACTCCCCTGCTGTTCCCTCTTTCTGGGATGGCAGAGCAGCAGCCTGCACAGACCTTCTTTCTCTGCCGCCAGCTGGGTCAGAGGAGATGGAATAGTTTTGCTTTGGGAAGACTTCTCATCTTGCTGAATAAGAGAAAACAAAGCTATTGCTAGAGTCAGGATTTGATTAAGCCAAGGAAGGAAGGGCCGCAAAGTGGCGGTAGTACTGTCTGTCCTGGATAAGGCAGCCTTCAGACCGTGCACCTTCAAGTCATGGGGAAGCCACTGTGCTTTGCGGGTCGCTGACCTCTCTCCTGTCTCCCTGGGTGTGCAGGTCCCATCTGCCCTGCAGTCTGATGCCTGTTCAGCCCTCCAACCACCTGGAATGGAATGAGTCTATGCACTCCCTCCGGATAAGTGTGGGGAGCCTTCCTGTGCTGGCGTCCATGACCAAGGCTGCGGACCCCCGCTTCCGCCCCCGCTGGAGGGTGATCCTGCCGTCCTTCGTGGGCGCCGCCGTCCTCTGGCTGCTCTACTCACACCGCCCACCCCCAGGCAGGCCACCCGCACCCAATGCCCACAACTGGAGGCTCGGCCAGGCGCCTGCTGACCGGTACAACGACACCTACCCACTGTCTGTCCCCCAAAGGACGCCAGGCGGGACTCGGTACCGAATCGCTCTTATCGCTGACCTGGACACAGAGTCAAGGGCCCAAGAGGAAAATACCTGGTTCAGTTACCTGAAGAAGGGCTATCTGACCCTATCAGACAGCGGGGACAAGGTCACCGTGGAGTGGGACATAGGTCACGAGGTCCTGGAGTCCCATCTGGCAGAAAAGGGGCGGGGCATGGAGCTGTCTGATCTGATCGTCTTCAATGGGAAACTCTACTCCGTGGATGACCGGACAGGGGTTGTCTACCAGATCGAAGGCACCAAGGCTGTTCCCTGGGTGATTCTGTCCGATGGCGACGGAACCGTGGGGAAAGGTATGTTGGGCCGCTGTGCCTCTGGGTTTGGTGAGGTGCTGGGGGAAACGTTCGGCCGCCCATCTGCCAGCTTGGTTTGCACGCGCTCGAGGAAAAGCGTTCTCGTGCCCAGAGGAGGGGGCATCGGGAAGAGCTAATCTCCCTCCTGCTCCTGGCCCATGGCCCCCCCAGCCCGGGAGCACAAGCCTTGTGGCCCTCCGACCAAAGTGGGGTCCGGAATAGGAGCCGGTTGCTAGAGCACTGCCAGCGAGCGGGGTCTCTGCTGGGAGAGGGCTAGGGCTCTGTCCGCTGTGGCTCCAGGGCCTCTGAACGGGCCCTTTACGTCTTACGAGGTATCTTCAGAGCCTGCTGGGACTGCACCCTCCACGTGCCTTCCCTTCAAAGCCCTCGTGTCCAGTTGCGCTCTTTGAACTGAGACCGTATTAAAAAGTAAACTTTTGCTGCCTGGCACTCTTTTCTGAAAACCCAGCAAAAGGAGGGTCTGTGTAAGAGCCCCTTGACGGGAACCCGACCTTGAAACCAGCCGTGACCCACAGCTCTGTGGTTTGCCTGAAAGGAGTTAGCACCTGCGGCCGGCATGGGACAGAGCTAGAGAGCGAGCCGAGGTGGCCCCTTGCCTCGGGTGGGCGAGGTGGCAGGGGCACTGGGTGCCAGCAGGAGGGTTGACAGGAGCTGCCTGTGTGCCCGAGCTCTTGGTGGGTCTGCACCTTCTGGAAAGCTGAACCACTGCAGGATGTCTGAGGTCGGGGAGGGGGGGAATTGCGTTAGCTGGGCCCATGGGCACGCTGTCTGCCAGGCCATCCCCGTGCAAACTCCCTGCAGGGTCTGCCCGAGGCTGGGGCAGCTGGCCCGAAACGTGCCTCAGCCTGGGTCCTAGAGAAACTGGATTGCCCATTTCCTGCCTCCGTCTGCCATAGTTTAGGTAGCTCTGTTCTTCCTCTTGGATCGGGAAGAACGCAGAATAAAGGCAGCCGTGGGGTTGCCCTTTGGTTGGATCATCCAGAAGGGACAGAAGACCTGGTGAGTGGAGAGCATCTTATCTTGAAAATGGCCCAGGGGGCTGAGCCCAGGATCACAGGAATTCAGCAGGTCCCTCCAGAGCCGCCTGCCAAGAAGCATTCCCGAGGCTGCTGCCGGCTCGTGGAGAGGGTGGCCACTCCAGCTCCTCGGGCCGGCAAGAAGCTTGCAAACCCTCTGGGAAAGCAAGCACGATTCAGAACACGGGTGTAGGGACAGGTGAGAATACACTGGAGGAGCAAAAGTCCCCACACATCTGTATGTGTTGCAGCCTTCAAAATCAGGTTCACACCGAATCAGTCCGTCTAAGAAAAGAGTCATACCGATTGGGATGGACACCATGAGCCCCCACGCCAGCCCCTTAGCAGCTCTGGCTACTGGCACTTAATTTACCCTCAGTGACATGTCAGGTATGGCTGCAAGGACAGCAAACGTGTTCTGCTGTGATGGGCACTTCAAGTGCTACCAGTTCCCTGGCATTTGGGCATGATCGTGAAGTGGGGGCTTACAGCTTGAGAACGGGGTTTGACCATCAGAGGAGATTGACAAGCTGTCGGCTGGGCCTTTTGGAGCTGGGGGAGGGGCCACCAGCTGCAGAAGCAGCTTAAATCGCGTTGAGAGGACGTCCCCGCAGAGTGTTCTGGATTGAGTTGCCGAAGGAGAACGTGATGGTTCCTGGAGGGGAGGGAGAGAGGAGGGGGACGAATAAAGACGGAGGGTAGGTGCCCACCTGCCCGGCGTGAGTTGTCGTGGGGTCTGCTCTGGAGACAGGTGCCCGACTGCTGACCCTCTGGAATGGAACTCTGAGCCAGGCCATCCTAAGCTCTGCTCTCTTGTCATGGCCTCATGGCCTCTAGTGAAGTCTGAGCCAGGTTACCTCTGACACCCATGGCTGCTGGACCGAGAGGGCTCTCTGCTCTTGCCTGACCAGACCCCACAGGAGCCCGATGGCAGAGTGCTAGCCATCATCTCAGGCACGCCCCTCTCATTCTTTGTCCCTAGGCTTCAAAGCTGAGTGGCTGGCTGTGAAGGACGAGCATCTGTATGTGGGCGGCCTGGGCAAGGAGTGGACCACCACCACGGGGGAGGTGGTGAACGAGAACCCGGAGTGGGTGAAGGTGGTGGGCTGCAAAGGCAGCGTGGCCCACGAGAACTGGGTGTCCAGCTACAATGCCCTGCGGGCCGCTGCTGGGATCCGACCACCAGGTAAGGGACCAGGCCCCACCAGGTGGGCACGGAACAGACACCGTGCACTGGGCGTTTGTTTCCAAACACAGCAGCTTAGTTTCTTTCTTAACTTTGTTGATTTCAGCTGTCTCTGATGGCTGCTCCCATCGGGCCAATGGATTCTCAGGGCAAATGAGCCGTTTTCTCTTTCATCCCTCACTCACCCGGACAGATCACCTCCTGCTGTCTCGGTCCACAGCGCATCACGCCAGGCCTAGTTCTGGCTGTTCCCTTGGGGGTCAGGGCCTCAGGCCTCGCACCTGACATGGCAGAAGCAAGACGGACAGAGCCCTGGTTCTTTCCCCCGTTTTCCGAGGGTCGTCATGGTTTGTAGCGGGGAGTTGCCGTGCTTGGAGCGGCCTGGTCAGCCCTAGGCTGAGGGAGACAAGCCTCTGAGGACATTGCTTTGCCCCCAGAGGGCTCATTCTCCATCCTTAACTGTAATGGGAGTGATGCTTTCTCTTCAGCCTCGGGGCCACCTCTCCCCACCCGTCTGTTCTTAACAGATCAAACCTGCTCATCTGGCTCTCTCCCCTGGGCTCTCTCTCCTTCCGTCCATTAGCACCCAGGAAGCAGAAATACAGACTGACCCCATAGCTGTGGCTTACCAGCGGCTCTGGGGAAAGCCAGCAAGGGAGCTTGGCGAGGGGAGGTGGGGCGCACCAGAGACGTGGTCTCCTCCTGCTTTCCCTCTGTCTTTTTAGTCTGGATAATCGGGAACAAAGCAGAGGGAGAATCCCCCGGGAAACACGGAGACCTAGAGCAAAGACGGGTGGTGCTGCTCCGGGCCGACAGGCCACCTCACTGCGTCTCCCGGAGCGCGTGCAGGGAGCCCCGGGGCCCCCCGCCTGCTGCAGGGCCGTCGAGGGTGCTGCACACCCTGTGGTGGGGAGGGGTGGGCCCGCCCGTCGGGGCCGTGACCTGTGGGTCTGCTGTGTCCCCCCAGGCTACCTCATCCACGAGTCCGCCTGCTGGAGCGACACACTACAGCGCTGGTTCTTCCTGCCGCGCCGCGCCAGCCACGAGCGCTACAGCGAGCGGGACGACGAGCGCAAGGGCACCAACCTGCTGCTCAGCGCCGCCCAGGACTTCGGCGACATCTCCGTCAGCCGCGTGGGGGAGGTGGTCCCCACGCACGGCTTCTCCTCCTTCAAGTTCATCCCCAATACCGACGACCAGATCATCGTGGCCCTCAAGTCCGAGGAGGACAGCGGCAAGGTCGCCACCTACATCATGGCCTTCACGCTTGACGGACGCTTCCTTCTGCCGGAGACCAGGGTCGGAGGGGTCAAGTACGAAGGCATAGAATTTATTTAAGCCGGAGAAATGAAGACGTTGAACTGGGCTGAGGAGTGGACAGTTTTAAGCTACATCAGGACTCAAATTTGATAAAAACCAGAGGACGGCACTTTTACGTGGTGTTTTGTTTGCTTTCCTCCTCTCCTGAACTCGGGCGGATGCGCGGTGCAGAGATCTCCAGGCTGATCGGGGAGTCAGCGCCGTGCTGAGCCCTGTGCTCCCCAGCGGCCTTCTGTGCTGCCGCCTGGTGGTAGAAGCAGATCATTGCAGGCATCTTAATTTGGGGCCCATGCTCTCTAATTCTGCTAGGCCCTTCCTTCCTTCCATCTGACCTCCCTGTCTTCCTTTCCGTTTGTCCTTTTGTTCAATAAATCTTTCTTGAGCTCTTCCTCTGTGTCAAGCACCGTGCCCCTGACAGGGAGTCCGAAGTGAACCTGCTCGTAGGAACTCCCAGGCTACCCCTTTTCTTTCCTCGTGAACCTCGGGCATTAAACCCACCCCCCAGGCCCTCGGGAAGGCACCTGTGTCCCCGGCAGGATGCTCAGGGCTGTGAGCGAGGGCAGGCCCGGGGTCGCCCGGCCCCTCCCCGTCCCACCCTCATGGCAGACATCTCAACTTCATGGGGCCGACCCATGTTCTCCTTCAGGAAAATTCAGTGGCCACGTAGCACTTTGAAGTTTTAATTATTAACTTCTTTTAATTAAAGCAGTTTCGTTTGTCATAAAATTGAATCTCCAAGTCTTATCAGGCAGGGCGCCCCGCATGGTTAAATTCATTCCCAGCAGTGGAGGAAATTGTAATTAAGCAGTTAAGAGTTGGCAAGACAAGTGTTTAATTGTTTCTAAGTCCTTGGCCAGAGGTTACAAAGATAAAGAAGGCCTTGCCTTTTTCTAGGCACTGTCAGAAATTGTTGTGCCTTTAAAGCCCCCCAGGAATGACACTTTCCTTTCCTGACGGTGAGGCCGGGTCTGAGGGCCGCGGCCGCCGCTGGGCTCCTTTACTCCGGAGCTTGTGGACGAGGCCTCCCTGGCCCTGCGCTTTCTGTCCCTGGCCTTTTATTTCTCCTCTTCCCTCTGGAGCTTTGCCGCCTCCTCTCCGTGGAAAGTCTTCACGAAACCTTGGCTTGTCTTTGTCCCTGTGGCCTCTTCTCAGTGCTCCAGGGTGAAGACTGAGGGTTCGGCACACGCCAGCCAGGACCAAAGCCTAGAGGGGCTGCTGCATCCGTGCCCCTCGCCAGAAGCTACCTCACCCTCGGGACGATGTGGGGGTCCGTGATGGCCGGGAAGGGCCGTCTCTTGGGCTCTGACTGTTACTGTGCGGCTCCGTCTCACAGGCTTTTCCCACTCGGAAACTTTAACACAGCCGCTAGCAGGGGCCCCAGTAAGGACGGCCATCTGTCTGTCGTCTGGTCGTCTGTTTCTTCCAAACAGACGGCAGAAGAACGGAAAACAAGCTGTTGAAGGTGACACGTTTCTCTAGAACTCGGCTCCCACTGGGCACAGCCTGGAGGACCCAAGTCTTTTCTGACTTTGCCTGCCCGGGCTCCCTGGCTCACCTCCGTGTTGAACGTCAGTGATGTTAGGGCTGTGTGACTTTAGAAATACAGAGACGAGACCAGGAAAGTTGGAGGACTTGGGACAGTCACTAAGTTGAGAGCTTTCTGCCTCAGCCACGGCCTAGGTGCCCAGAAGCAGCATTTTCACCCAATCAGTGATTTTCAAATATTTTAAAGCTAGCCTCCCCCCCCCCCACCCCATATTCGCTGCTGTAAGCATAATGATTGTGTTCCTTCCTACTGGAGCCATTGTTTTGTAAACAATAAAGTGCCAGAGGGGACTGTGAGTTCTCTTTTGTCTCCTGGTCTGTGTTGGCTGTTCTCCAAGGGTGCCGCCTGGGGAATACAAGAGAGGTGATGGTTCACACGCCTGCTCAGTGAAGGGTGTGCTCTGTCTGTGCCCGTGGGGGGGCAGGGAGCACTGGCAAAGGGAAGCAAGAAGAGTTCTTGGCATGGGATGTCTGACGTGCCATGGGCATTCCTGGGGCAGGGACCCATGAACCTTTGCAGACCAAGGAGCTTTTCTGGAAACTGAATCGTCCAGTCCAACTTTTGGTGGTGTCTGAAGATGCTCTTTGGGTCTTAATGGTTAAGAATATAGGCTCTGGATCCTCCTGAGTCCAGTCCTGGCTCTGATACCTTGTAGCTGTATGACTTTAGATAGTGATCTGAGGTCTCTATGCTCTAGTTTCCTCATCTGCAAAAGGAAGATGATAATAGAGCTACTTCGTAGAGCTTTTGGGAATGGTAGATGAACTCACACACATGCGGGTCTTACCTGACGCTTAGTCAGCTCTCACCCGCTTTGATCTTGCTCACCAAGTAGAGGTAGCTGTAAGATTTGGTAATGAGGTGGGGCTCGGGCGAGAGGTCTCACTGATCTGGGTGTCATTAGTGTGTCTGATGAATCTGCAGGAGCGAATGAGACCATGCCAAAGGACATCAGGTCCTAAGAATCCTGACATGAAACCCCAGGCACACGGGAAAGGAAGGGACTGGCAAAGAAGAGAGACTTAAACTGGAGAAGGAGGAAACCAAGAGAGTGGGTGTCATAAAAGCCAGTGCCCATATCTTCCTTTTGTCCCACCCCCACCCTGCTCTGTGTCCCCAGAGGCTGGCCTGAGTGAACCTCATCAACCCTCTGGGAGTGAGCCCGGACTGGCAGGAGGGAGGGCAGTGAGCTGGGAGGCCCTGATGCCCTCCTGCAAGGTTGCCTCCCACATCATCTCGCAAGGCAGCTCCCTCACGCACTGCCCGAACCTGGGCTCCAGTAACCGCTCCCTGCCCTTGTCCCTTCTGGCCTGGGAGTGGTCATAGCTCCAGATACCATGCTACCCCTTGTGGTCTCACTATTCCCTGCTCACACACACCTAGTAAATAGCCCCTTTTGCAGGGAGATCAAGTAAGAAGGTCTGGAGACTGTCCATGGACTAAGCAACAAGGACTTGGTGTTCTTGGTGATCCTCGTGAGGACAGGTCAGGAGAGCGGTGGAGGAGCAGCCCGAGCGCGTCGGGCTTAGGCGGGAACGAGATGAGGAACTGCAAGTGGAGGGGCGAGAAACTGAAGATACGTTCTCGACCGCCTCTTGAGGAAGTCATGACACCTCCACTCGCACAGCCGGCTTGGCGCTCTCCTGTGTCCAGTGTGCAATTCATTAGCGAAAAGAAAACTCCAAAGAGTCGTCTCAGAAATGAGTGGGTAAAGTGAGATTAATTTATTTCCAATGTTAATTCTATCCTCTTATCACTTTAAATTGGTAAATGTTAAGGTAACTTATACCTTAATAAAATTGTTAAAAGATTTAAATAAAGCAAAAATAGAATGCCTTCACACAAAGAAAATTCCAGGCCCAGAGGGCTTCACTGGTGAATTGTACCAAACATTTAAGGAAGAAATAATATCAAACCAACACAAAGTCTTCATGATTTGGGGAATTGGGAACAATTCCCAACTCATTTTATGGGGGCACCACTACCCTGATACCAAAACCAGATAAATGTTTACAAGAAAAGAAAAATACAGACCGGTATCCCTCTTGAACATAGATGCAAAAATCCTTAGGAAAAATTTAGCAAGCTGAATCCAGCCATATATAAATATGAAAACTCTTCATGGCAAAGTGTGATTTATCCCCAGAATGCAAGGTTGGTTTACTATTCTAAAATTAATCAATGTAATTCACCATATTAACGGACTAAAGAGGAAAACCATATGATCATATCAAAAGATACAGAAAAAGCATTTAGCAAAATCCAACACCCATTCATGATTTTAAAAAAACAAAACAAAACAAAATAAACTCTTAGCCAACTAGGAATAAAAGGAACTTCTTTAACCTGATAAAGGGCATCTGCAAAAAACCTACAGCTAACATCTTATTTCACGATGAAAGACTGAATATTTCCTCCTAAGTCTGGGAACAAGGTAAGAATGTCTGCTTTGGCCACTGTTTTCTCCCCTACTTAACTTTTTATCTTGAAACCATTTTAAACCACATAGACGTTACATAACTCGTACGGTGTTGCTGTGTTCCCCTCACATAGCTTTCTCCAGTGGTAACACCTTACGTTACCATAGACAATTATCCAACCCAGGAAAGTGAGTGGCTCTCGTCACTTTTACTTACTATCTATCCCATTGGAGGTCCCAGAGAGTGCAATTAGCCACAGAGAAAGTCACACGGATTGGAGAAGAAAGAGTAAAACTGTCTTTATTTGCCAATGGCAAGATCGACTAGGTAGAAAAGCCTCAGAAATCTTCAAAAATAACTGTTAGAACTAACAGTTGAGTTTAGCAAAGCTGCGGGATACACAGTCCACATGTAGAAATTAATTTTATTTCTATATACCTGCAGCGAACAATTGGAAATGGAAATTTTCAAAAACAGTGTCGTTTACAATAGAACCAAAAAACATGAAATAGATTAAGTCTAACAAAATGTGCAAGATCTCTATGCTGAAACTAAAACACTGATGAAAGAAATTAAAGGAGACTCAAAGGAAACCATACACTGTCGTCGTGGATGGGGAGACTCAGTTTTGAGAAAGAAAAATAAAGTCAAAGGACTTCTACTGCCTGACTCCAAGAGTTAGTATAAGGCTATAAGTAATCAAAACTGTAGTATTGGCACAAGAAAAATAGACATGTAAATCAATGGAAGAGAAGAGGGTCCAGAAATAGACGCATATGTGTGTGGTCAGTTGATTTTTTGACAAAGGTACCAGGGTTATTCAGTGGGAACAAGATTGTCTTTCCATAAGCAGTGTTGGGACAATTCTAATCTCTGGAGAAGTAAATGATTGAAACCCTTGTCTTCCACCAAACGTGAAGTTAACTCAGAATAGATCATGGACCTAAACAAAGAGCTGAAACAACAAACTCCTACAAGAAGACAGTGTAGGAGGAAATCTTTGTTAGGCAAAGGTTTCTTGGATATGACACCAAAAGAATGATAAAGTGAGCTTTAGCCAAATTCAAAACCTTTGCTCTTCAGAAGACAAAACAAAATTTGCAAATCATATATCTGCTAAAGGGACTTGTATCTGGGATATATAAAGAACCTATACAGCTCAGTAATAAGACAGACAACCCAATGTAAAATATGCGTAAGATTTAAATAGACACTTCACCAAAGAGGATGTGTGAATGACAAACAAGCATATGAAAAGATGTTCAACCTCAGTAGTCATTAAAACCACGAGATTCCACTACATATCCACTAGAATGGGTGAAATTGAAAAGCTGGCAATTCCAAGTGTTGGTGAGGATTTAGAGTCCCTGAAATGGTCATGAAATTTCCAGTAGGAATGCAACGCGGTCCAGCCACTTTGGAAAACAGTTTGACATTTCCTTGAAACCGTAAACCTGGGTCTACCCTGTGACCCAGTAATCCTATCTGTAAATATTCACACAAAAGAAATAAAAACTTGTGTTCTCACGAAGACTTGTGACTTGTCTCCAAATGTTCCTAACAGCTTTATTCCTAAGAGTCAAAAACTGGGAATGACCCACATGTCCGTCAATGCATAAACGCATGAACAAATTGTAGTCTCTCCGTACGATGGACTACTCCTCAGCCAAAAACTGAACCAGGTACTGATATTCGCAGCGATGGAATCAATCTCCAAAGCATCATGCTAAGTAAAAGCAGCCAGATAGTGGCGAAAGATTACATACAGTGTGTTCCCATTTATGTGAAATCCTGGAATGGGCACAGCTGCATGTCGGTAAGCAGACCGCTGGTTGCAGGCTCGGGGCTGGTGGAGGGGACTGATGCAAAGGGGCAGAAGGGACCATTTGGGGATGGTGAAAATGTCCTATATATTATGAGGGTGGTCATGGTTGCCATCTGTATACATTTGTCAAAACTCCTTCAGTGGATGCGTTTTACTGTATGTAAATTATATTTCAAGCCAATTAAAATAAGAAAGAGTGTGGGTTTGAATCCCAGCTCTACGTGACGTTGGGCAGATTTCGTCCCTCTGTGCCTGTTTTCTCATCTATAAAAGGGGTTAATAAGAGCGTCTCTTCCCGTCGCGGTTGGGAGTATTCGATGGGCCAGTTCACGTCAGGTTCACAATAGTCCTGGGCTACGTCAGTACTAGCATTATAGGTAATGTTCCCGTCTTCTGCCGGGGAGATGGAGTAGAGGCACAAAAAAAAATCCTTTAAACCAGCCAGGGGTTCTCATCTCTGAAGCCCCTAGCCCTCTCCCTGCGGCGGCTTGGCGGTGGCTTCCTGGTTACAGCAGCACCGTCCACACTATCACAAGACGGCCCGATTGCTTGTGGCGTCCAGGCCTTTCCCAGTCTCCTCATCAGAACTGAGCGGCTCTTCTCCGGAGCAGATCACTTCAAGCTCACGTTCCACGTTCCCGGTCCGGGAGCCTAAGGCTGGAAAGGCCTCCAGAGCCGGGAGCAGATACCGCGCTTTGATTCGATGCTGACGCCTCCATCTTACAGTCTGCTTTCCTGGACACGAAGGACTTTCCAGGACTCTTTGGGCTGAGGATTCGGAAACTTGAGTTTTTAAACATTTCCAACACCACCTCCCAAAGTACTTCCTCTGCATTCCGGGCCTGTCCGGCCACTTATTTGGGCAAAAATCAATGGAGACTGTGAGAAGTGGCGATGCTGGAGTTTCCGTGTCCACGAGCACTGAGGCTCTTCATCCCCGTGGGATCTTGAAGCCCCTACAGTCTCTTGTTCTGCCTGTTCTACTTCCAGCTGCCTGTCCGCCTGGATCTTCAGTTTCTTTGGAGGGGCTAGATGAAATGTGTAG